GTTTTAATTGATCGTGTGCTTGAGGCTCAGATGATTGATGAGGAGACCCAGGAAATAATTCAAGCAAGGAACCAAGGTAAAAAGAAAGATTTTGAGATTCGAGAAACTGATGGCATGCTTATGCAGGAAAGTAGGATGTATGTGCCAAATAATGCAGAATTAAAGAAAGAAATTTTGGATGAGGCACATATTTCGGCATATGCGATGCATCCAGGAGGCACTAAGATGTATCATACCATTAAACCATTTTATTATTGGCCAGGTATGAAAAGAGAAATTGCCGAATATGTAAGTAGGTGTGCCATTTGCCAACAGGTTAAAGCTGAAAGAAAGAAGCCGTTTGGGTTGATGCAACCACTTCCCGTTCCACAGTGGAAATAGGAAAATATTCCTATGGATTTTGTGTACAAGCTCCCTCGTACACAGAATGGTTATGACGGAATTTGGGTGGTAGTTGATCGGCTTACGAAATCAGCGCATTTTATTCCAGTGTGGGAGAAGTATTTGTTAGGCCGATTAGCTAAGTTATTTATATCACAGATTGTTAAGTATCATGGTGTGCCAGTTAATATTATCTCGGATCGGGATCCCAGATTCACTTCCAAGTTCTGGATAGCATTCCAGGAAGCTCTTGGTACGAGATTGCTTTATAGTACGGCATATCATCCTCAGACATATGGACAATCTGAGAGGACCATTCAGACATTAGTAGGATATGTTAAGATCTTCAGTGCTACAGTTTGGAGATAGTTGACATGATTGTTTGGATTTGATGGAGTTCGCCTACAATAACGGTTATCATTCGAGTATTGGTATGGCACCATTTGAGGCACTTTATGGGAAATCTTATCGTACGACTCTATGTTGGTCAGAGGTCGGTGAAAGAGTTTTAGTGGGCCCTGAGATTGTGGATGTGACTACTCAAAATGTTCAGGTAGTTAAGTCTAACCTGAAAGCGGCCCAAGATCGACAAAAGAGCTTAGCAGACAAACATGCCATTGATCGGAAGTATGATGTAGGCGATTGGGTGTTTCTGAAGCTATCACCTTGGAAAGGTATTGTACGATTTGGAAAGAAAGGAAAGTTGAGTCCTAGGTACATTGGACCATATATGATCACTGAGCGAGTCGGTGAGGTTGCTTACAGGCTTGAGTTGCCTCCAGAGTTGTACAAGGTACACGATGTGTTTCATGTTTCGATGCTTCGACATTATGTTTCAAATCTTTCACATGTGATTCCTCCTCAACCTTTGGAAATCAATTCGGACTTGACTTATGATGAGGAACCAGTGACTCTATTGGATTGGAAGGATAAAGAACTAAGGAACAAGATAGTTCGTCTGGTATAAGTGTTATGGAGAAATCATTCAGTGGAAGAAGCTACTTGGGAGACAAAGGATCGGATGAGGGAGATGTATCCACGATTGTTTTATGATTATTAGTGGATGTATTTGTTATGTATAATTTCGAGGAAGAAATTTTATAAGTTGGGGAGATTGTCACAACCCGTCCCAAAAATGTATATTATTTTGTTATCGTTGATGTGAAAAGACTAAAGTGCCCTTGAGCGTTTGTGGCATTGTGGGACTATATGTGGTTGGGGACCAATGTGTTAAGTCCCTATTATTTTGGAACCAATTGGAAGTAAGGAAAATGGGTTGTTTTGATTGGTGACCTAAAAATCTGGACCACACATCCTATCTCTCTCTCACTCTCCCGTGCTCTCTCTTTTCTCTCTTTCGGTTTCACTTTCTCTCCTTCGAAATGGTACAGACAAGCACCCAAGACCCTTCAAACTTCATGGATCGTGGCCAAAATTAGTACCATTGTGTTCGTGAGGACCATACAAGTTCAAAGGTACCCATTTCAGGTAAGAACTCGTTCGATATCACATTAAAAATTCAAGCTCCGAGTTGAGTACTATTTACAAACTTTTAAATGGTTATATTTTAGGACAATCCAAGCTCATAGCGAGCTTAGTGAGGTCCCAAGGAAGCTCGAAGTGCTTCGTTTGAAGGTTTTGGACGTCGGGATCGTGTGGACGAAGTTTGGCCGATTTTCTTGGAATTCTCTGGTAAGACCCCGTGACTTTTAGAGCTTTAAATTAGTATGATTGTGTTCTACAAGTTAAGAGCTTCATTTTGGTATAAAATACATGAAAAATGGTGCAAAAACGAGTGAGAAATGGGCAGTTGCAGGTCTGCCCAGAATTCGGCGTCGGTGACAGTTCCGGCGTGTGGAGGTTGAAGATGATGCGCGTGAGGCGGTGCCCTCCCTGGCGCGTGAGGGTGCGTGGCTCATAGAAAAATTTATCTAAAAATATCACGATGTTCGTGAGGTTATGCATGTCACGTTGGTATATTTAAATACTAAAATTGAGCAATGTATGAGAAGTTATTAGCTAGTTTTGCTTTTGTGCTTTAAATAACATTTTTATAGTTAATTCGCATATAGGTGAGACTTATCCCGAGGACAAGCGTATCCACGGGCGACTCGGGGGCTACAACTCTTCGACATACCAGTGAGTGGGCTTTTGTTTTCAGTATATATTTATATACTTGATATATTTCCCAGAAATGCATTTTTAAGGAAAGTATGCTTTGAAATAATATGCCAAATGCTTCTATATTTTGAATATGCATTGCATGGTTGCATATATATATATATATATAAATGTAGTGCTGTGGAGGCACAGATGAGTTCAAGTAAGTTATGTTTGGTTGTGTGAATCATCGATGATGTGATATGTGATATGTGATTAAGTAATGTTGAGCTCATAAAGCTGCACCTAGGGTGATTGTGAATTAGCCAGAGATATGAGGTACATGCCTATTTATTTACGTCACCTCTCACACTATATGCTCATATTGGATCCAACTTAAGTGCACAGTTTTGTCGTACAGACCTTATTCATGGTTCCGACTCGTAGGTGACTAGCGATTCATCGCCTAGCTATTATGAGAGAATATAGTTGAGCATAATTATATTTCACCCAATCTTGTCGTACAGACCCTCTTTAGTGGTTTCGACTTATGTGCAGTATATTGCCGTATAGGTCATTGTAGTGAGTCCGGCCAGATTGACTTTTGAGCTATGAATTCAGTCGTACAAACTACCTCAGGGGTTCCGGCTAACATATCATGTTTCCATGAAATCATTCTTACCTGGATTGTTTACTTCGTTATATTTTGGCATGGCATACATATGAATATGATTATGTGAAGTATGAATTGAATTGATTCTGGGGAAAATTATACATGTTTTACAGCGAGAGGTTAGATATGTTGTTAAATGAAATGGTTTTGTAAAACATTTGTTTTTGCCCACTCACGTTTTCTGTTTTACGCCCCTCCAGGTTTTAAGTAAGCTTGTTGTTGGTGGCTTGAGATCATCAGCAGTTCTGACCTATTTGAATAATAGTGTGTCACATCCTAGCCTGGGGAGGCCCATTTCCCAGGCCCGCTCCACCACCGTAGCACAATATTGTCCACTTTGGGCCTCGACCACGCCCTCACGGTTTTGTTTATGGGAACTCACGAGGAACTTCCCAGTGGGTCACCCATCATGGGAGTGCTCTAGCCACCTTCTCGCTTAACTTCGGAGTTCCTACGGAACCCAAAGCCAGTGGGCTCCCAAAAGACCTCGTGCTAGGTAGAGATGAGAATATACATTTAAGGATCACTCCCCTCGGCGATGTGGGATGTTACAATCCACCCCATTTAGGGGCCCGACGTCCTCGTCGGCACACCACGGCTCGGGTTAAGCTCTGACACCAATTGTCACACCCCGGCCCGGGGCGGACCACTTCCCGGGCCCGCTCCACCACTATAGCACAATATTGTCCTCTTTGGGCCCCGACCACACCCTCACGGTTTTGTTTCTAGGAACTCACAAGCAACTTCCCAATGGGTCACCCATCATGGGAGTGCTCTGGCCACCGTCTCGTTTAACTTCGGAGTTCCTACGGAACCCGAAGCCAGTGAGCTCCCAAAAGACCTCGTGCTAGGTAGAGATGGGAATATACATTTAAGGATCACTCCCCTGGGCGATGTGGGATGTTACAAGTAGGACATTCCTAGTACTGTGTAACTAGTACTTGTCCTACTGGACTGCACCTACACTTTATGCTCTGATTAGGAGTGTTCACTGCTGTAACTAACTCCTATCACTTTCGTTTAGTAGTGCACTCTAGTAATCTGGTTTTTAATTATTCGTATAGTTGCTATCTTTATTGCTTCTGCACTGTGCATATGGCTACGTCACCCTCACGTGACGGCCAGCATGTCTTGACCTCGGTCGGGGTGTGTCACTTGTTACTAATTATGAGTGTGAACATTCTTCTTGAAGCAACCACTAAGCATATTTTTAGGGGTGTGTTATCCATATACCCCTTTTACTTCTCTTATACCCTTATTAATTTATGTTCTTTGATTTTCTTTAACTCAGTCGATCCGATGTTTGCAAATTAAGAAGGTGTGCAACACACCCCTATTTCTATTGGCTTAAAATTTTAGTTGAGATAGGAAGATGAGATACGAACTCAAGCGTATGTTTACTTAGCTTAAATAGAAGAACTCTAAATCTTTATTGATTACAAATCACATTTATAAAATTGAAAAGAGTAAATACTTCTACCATCTTTTATTTGTTTTGGAGAAAACTTAAAATGCATTTACTAACATGTACGAAATTAAAAAATGAAAAATATGTGGCTTTGCAATCCATGATCCAATATATGAAAAATCTGAAGTTTGATTGATTAGGAGGTAATTGATCTTTTTCTCATTCCTACTCTCCCCTACTTTTGACTACTCCGATTCACGAAGACTTTTCTTGTTTCTTATGAGACAATAAGTCATTGCCTTTTTCCAATGAGCTAACGGAAAATTGGCTAAAATAATGATAAACATATTGCCAATATTGGAACGACACTTTTCCGTCTTTTTGTATATGTTGTCAATGTTTGATAAACATGTCTCCAATTTCTAATTGTGAGCAGTTGAATAACTAAGATTCATAAATCCATCATCTCAACCAGTTTCCCCAGACACATTTGAGTAACATTGTATGCAAACAAACGTTTGGCCCGTGAGGGGGAGTTGTAAAATGCCACAAAACTAGGGCATCTAGCTAGGAAAATGCCACAAAAGCAAAGAACTGAGCCATCGGACGTGGTCACAGCGGCAGTAGTGACAGATCTGCCCGGATTGAGACTGCCAGGACAAAAGAAAACAAAGGCGAAAACGACCAAAAACAGCAGAAGAAAGTAGGGAAAAAAATACAAGGGTTTAGGGCCATAAATAGAAAGCACATAAATATCGAGGATAATGATGCATGGAGGGCCATAAATAGAAAGCACCAAAATGTTCTGGGCCGATCAAAACTTCAAACAAGAATGGCGTTGAGATTGGAGACGTGGTTGCTTATGAGCGCGGTGCTTGCTGCTTGCTGTGTCAAATTTGGATGTTGATGCAGATTTAGATATAATTGCAAGGCTAAATCGAATAATCGGTCTTCGTGGTAATTGGATATTCAGAAGATAACCTTTGTGGTGAAAAAATTAAGAACTAGACCTATCAGCCTCACGTGCAGCCTTTTGACTGTGACTTGACAGAAATTTTATTTTGGGGCTTATTTCCTAACAGTTTTCCTCACAATAGTTTAATTCCTAATTTTTTTCACCACAAGGGCTATCTTCCGAATGCCGTATCACCACGAGGACCATTTATCTGATTTGGCCAAATTCAAAACACCCATGTGGGGGCTTGACTCAAGCCGCTTGAGATTAGTGCCACTCCGGATTTCCTTTATAGGCTGCAAATCAAAATAAAAAAAACATGCCCTATCACCGGTTATGAACTTATATACAATCATTGGACTATCTCTTATCATGTGAGTCGTGTCATGTGATGAGAGCGATCAACATGATCATATACAACTGATGACACCCAAAAATGCTCAAATACAACTGGCAAAGCACAGGTTCATCAAATTTATGTGTTTCATACAGAAAAATTTTCTGCATATTCACACGAAAAAAACCAAAAAAACACTCCAGAATCATGCTATCATATCAATGCAAGGGGATCATACTTTATATTTCTGATGTGTCGATGACAACTTTAAACAATGGATCGTTCACAGGAAACCAACGATACATAAAATCTGTCAGAAGTTAACGTTTGTATCTACTTTCGGTGCACGTTATAACATTTACAAGACCTCAGAAAACAATGTTTTATTTTACTGTACTTATGTCCAGCAGTCTGATTTGGGCACAACATATGGTCAACAGCAATATCCTCACTTACCCTCTGTAACTTCAAATTATCATCTTAACTGCTCGACGTTTCCCCTTCTACTACCTTAAAAAAATTTCATGTAAAACCCAAATTCTCAATAGCAATACCACCGTAACTAGGATTGTAAAATTGCAAACATATTCGGTGTTCCTTAACAGATAAGATGCAGCAGTAACGAAGAGACAACTACTTTGGACAACATAATTTACTGGTTGACCTTACATACTGCAACAGCAGGTTCATGGAGAAAACCCTTAAATGACAATGCGGGATGCAAAGGCCGAACCACGGTGGAAGATATGGATCTTGCACTCAGTGCTAGCCTATGGGTTTGGAGATTTGTCTTTGTGAGAAACTTAGCAGTGAGCACATGGTCTAACCTAATAATTTTGCCACCTGAAATAATCTTTTCTGGATCTAAACTTACCAATTCCTCCAACAATCCAGACCCAAAAATTAAAAACTTCCTCCCACACTATCCTATATCCAAGCAAATCTCTTCAGGTAAATGACCCAAAGAAGTCATTCTCTAGGGTATGAGTATTTTCAAATTGCTCTAAATCGGCTAACAAAGACCAGTTTGAATTAAAAAGAAATGACTGAATATAGAAAATCGACTTTCTGAAAGGAAAGATCACAGTACCTTGACGATTCGGCAGAGCATTATCTGAAAGACTTCAAGTCATCTGCACGTTCTTCGTCAGGAAGACACACTGGGTCGCATTCTTCTTCTACTCCGAGCAACCATTACCATTCAAAACACAATCTGCACTATCAAGGTGGCAGGTCTCACATAAAACAAAGTTCTCAAAATTTTCTTGTCTTTCAAAAATTTGAATTTAGAGGAAAGCACATTGTACGATGCAGGTCCCTTCATTCTGTATATGGTTCGAGAATGTCATGTTACTCAATCAAACTAAAGCCGCAATCATAGGACTTCTAGAGGCCACTGAAAATCTTGTAAATACCATGAAGCAAAATCATAATGTCAAAACATCAAGGAAACAAGTCTCGAATAGGTGAAAGGTATCTTGAGTTTTCAAAATGATAAAATGCAATCCAAGAGGCAATAAACGAATGCTATTTCCACGAGGAACAGCACCCAACCAAAATGTTACAAGAAATGAAATGGCTAATCAGACCTTACATAAGTACAAAGAAGACAAAATTATCTTTCATACCCATTCAAAACAGTTACAAATGCAATATCTATTGTCAAAATATCACATATTTGCCTTCATTAACAATCAAACAGAGTTTAAATCAGCAGACAGAGCACTGCTAAAAGATTAACTATTGCCTCCAATCTGTATGCTTGTCATCTTGATACAGGATAAAATCTTGAAGCTGATAAAAAGGATGTTTATGCTGCACTGCACTATCTACAACCTGCTATTCCAAACAGATCATTTGTTCGTACTTCATATAGGAATATGCTAATTGTCATAATTTCTTAGTATTTGTTCAAATGAACATGACAAATCCAAACAAATAAATTAATGAATAGAACCATCGAAAAAAATGGTTATGACAAGCTTTATCATGATCAACAAGACAAAAATCAGCTATTCCATTAACATTCTGACCAAAAAAAATTATAAGTACATAATGGAGACAATTGTGAACTGAACCTACCTACAAAGATAAAAGTAAACAATACAACCTCCGAATAACCAAACTTCTTATCACTCTAGTTCATCAAGTTTGATCTCATGTTGTTCACCAGAAGAAAGGACTTTCACACTCACCATACCCCTCTGCCACTCTGAATCTCCCACCAATATCAACCTATTAGCATTTATCCGTGCTGCACGCTTGAATACCCTGACAGAGAACAAATTCAACTAACATATTGGAAACACAGTGATTGATATAGAAATCTACAAGCACCTCTAAGGGGGCAGGAAATACCATTTAAGCGGTTTGTTCTCCAAGACTAAATCAACACTTTGACCTTTCCCCCTGAGTATGGTGGCAACTGTTGCAGCTGCTTCTTTAAGTCCAGGATCAAGAGCACACACAATGTTCTCTACTTGCAGGCTGAGTTCCGGCAGAAGGCCCTTCTCCTTAAGCAACTATAATCCCCACAAGAAAATATCATATAGATGGCAAACCAAAAAAAATTGGGATAAAGAAAAGAAATTAGTGGATAAGAATGAAGAATATTTAAATACTAGGAGCATTATCCAAAACATAAATTCTATTTTAGTAGGTAAAAAACTTCATAAAGCAAGGAATAGGATATATATATTACATAAGTTTCAACTTACTTCCACTATGACAGCATCACCAAATCCAAATCCACAAGCCGGAATGTCATCACCACCAAAAGTAGAAAGCAAGCGGTCATATCGCCCACCACCACAAATGGCTCGTAACTTTCCTCCTCTATCAAAACCCTGAAAAAAAAATTTATTTGTCAGGAACTATCTTCTGCGGTGACAAAATTGGAAGCAACTTTATATACTTACAAGGGAGATCTAATCACCATAATTAAGTAATCATGCATACATAAAAACAGTTTGTCATATGGCTGCTTATTTTGTCTGTCACCAGCACAAAAGTTTGTTGTTACACATCGGCACAACAATGCAGAAGTTCCAGTATGTTCTACATCTGAAATTTTAGGAGAACAAATTTTCACATCACTTGTCTCGTAAGTAATGAAGGTATTACAACCAACTTTACACTTCACACCGAACAGAACTCTAAAATGTTCCGGTAGTATTTAACAAATGCTACTAAATTTTGCTCACAGATCAGTTAAATGCATTTCAGTACATCCAAATTTATAAATGTATAAACTGGCAGTGAGATAATGTCCAGAAACTACATCCAAAGCAGACTGATGCCCAAAATAGACACGCAGTAACATATATGATCCCCAGGACATTATTCGCACACAAAAAGGTAATAGCAGATTATACAGAAATATAAAGAAATATCATCAACTACCAGGAGCAATAAACAACTAAAGAAAATGGAAATGATGGTAGAACTCAAATCATTCTACGAGCATGACTAATATCTGCAATGTCAAAATTTTAGGAGGGAAAACACATGGAAATCCTAACCTCGAAAACAATACCAGTGTAGTAGGCAAGGCCACGAACAATAGAAGCATCAAACTGGATCCATTCAGAATAACCAAATTTGTCAGAAAGAGAAAATAGTTGTTTCAAATCAGCAACTGCTTCCCCAGCATCTCCAAGAACCTCTACATAAGAAAACATTGAAAGTATATTAATAATCGCCCCATCACCTTGGAAACTCTACTCACAAACGATTGCCAAAATAATCCAACAACTCTTTGAAAAAATTATACAGTTCAATTTATTGTGGCCGCAATTCATGTTAACTCAAGTCTCAACCCACCTCCTTACTATCCCTTCCCACTTTCAAATCTCAACATTCTTTCACTTCTCTCTGATCTACGAGTAACTACTAACTCCTGAATTCATCATCACCATTACCCAAGATAATTGTCTATTTCTCTGTCTGTTCATTTCTTATAGAGGCACACCTTAAATAATTCTTTTTTGTCATCTATAAGTGTTTATCCACCTTCACCTAATATACGAAAGCTTAGTTAAGCATTATCATTTTCAATATCTATGTTACATTACATTATCTTGTTACCCTCACTAATGTTCCTCGACCATCAAGAGTATTTGTAATTTCTAGCAGTTAAAGCTTTTGCGATTAGCTTTTTAACAAACAAATATCACAATGGTTAGTAAAATAAATCATTTGTACAAAAGTTCACTGATAGTAAGAGAAGAACTGTTTAAAATTTTTTATTATTTCAGAACAAGTGCTTGGGAGAGACACGAGTCTCAAACAATCTCAGACAATCAAATCGGGTTCATGCCAGGGCGCTCGACAATGGAGGCAATCTCTCTCTTCCAAAAATCAATGAAACGATATAGAGATATGCAAAAGGATTTGCACAAGATGAAAAAGCGTATGATAGGATCCCAGAGAACTTCTTTGGAGGATTCTAGAGAAGAAAGGAGTACGAGTAGAATGTATCCAAGCAATAAAGGATATATATGATGGAGCAAGGACTGTATAACAACTCATGAATGACAAATTGAAAGTTCCCATAACCATAGGGTTATACCAAGGCTCAGCATTAGGTCCTTACTGTTTTGCATTGGTAGTGGATGAGGTAATGGGGCATATTCAAGATATATCCCTTGGTTGCTTTTCGCAGATGATACAGTGCTAATAGATGAAACGCAGAAGGGTGTAAATGTGAAGCTTAACCTTTGGCAAGAGGTGTTGGAATCTAAAGGTCTTTGCCTCAATACGTCGAAGACAAGAGTATATGGAGTGTAACTTCAATGGGAATGGGGTCAAATAAGATAGGGGTAAGGATTGGAGATCATAAAGTACCAAAGAGTGAACGCTTTCGCCATCTTGGATCTATCTTGCAAAAGAACGGAGAACTAAATAGAGATCTTAACTATAGAATATAAGGAAAACTAATGAAAATGACTTGAAAACTTTGAGTTTTAACGATAAAAACAAAATAAAGGGTAAAGTGAATAGTACAAGGATTGACTTTTTAGTGTAAAAATGTGATTTTTCGTTAAAGTGAACAGTACTAGGAGCTTTTCGTTAAAGTTCCCTAGAATATAAGCTGATGGATTAAAAGGAAGAGTGCATCCGGTGTGTTGTACAATCTTCGTAAGCCATAAAGCTCAAGAAATTTTTTTGGATAAAGTATAAAAAATTACCTCAATTATTAGTGTCACGACACTTTCATACCTCATCTTTTAAAATTGACAATGTCATACCTCATCTTACGAATTTGTGCCAATGTCAGACCTCCGTCAGTTTTTCTGTTAAATGCTGACGTGGCAAAAAACAGGACCCATTTTTATTAAAAAAATAATTAAATATTAAAAAATTAAAAAAAAAAACCAAAAAAAACCCATCAACCCATGTCCCCCCTCCCAAAAAAACCCAGATCCCTTTCTCTGAGTTCTCCCCCACCCAACTCTCTCTCTCTCTCTCTCTCTCTCTCTCTCTCTCTCTCTCTCTCTCTCTCTCCCTCCCTGCAACCTGCATCCCTAAAATCCCAAAACCCAGAAACCATTCCTACCCGAGTCAACACCGCGGGCGAGCTCTCAATCCTCTTAGTCGATGATCGCCGATTAACCCCAGACCCTTCCCTGCCACTCCCAATGGCGTCAGAGCTCTCCTTCTAGCACCACAGGTGCTTCTGGTTCCCCCACTTCAAATACCACGGCAAGTTGAAATTGTGCAGAGGCTTCACCCTCTCAGAACCCATCGCCATGGACTTCACCTCCACCCTCTCTCCTCATCCGACCCGCCTATATACACCATTTATTGAAAACTCAGACCAAAGAGAGCCACTATGAGATCACAACTCTCTATTTCTCGCACCTCCTCTAGGAAAATCTCAGAATTTTCTGGGAAAACAGAGAGTTTTTCTGTTGGGATTGTTGTTGTTGTTATTGTTTTGTTTTTCTCTTGCAAATCGCTGGAGGGGCAGACTCCGGGGGTGAGGAGGAGAAGGGAATGTTGTTGTGGAGGTTGGGGCTAGAGTTAGGGTTTGGGGGCGATTGCGGGTCATGGCTGTCATCGTTGGAGTCAACGACAAAGGTAGGGTGGTCGTCTATGGGATCGGAGAGGAAGGTTGGGGGGGGGACGGGTGGGAAGGATTTCTGGGTTTTGGGATTTTAGGGATGCAGGCTGCAAGGAGAGAGAGAGAGAGAGAGAGAGAGAGAGAGAGAGAGAGGGTTGGGTGGGAGAGAACTCAGATAAGGGGATCTGGGTTTTTGGGGAGGGGGACATGGGTTGATGGGTGCTTTTTTGGTTTTTTGTTTTTTTTGTTTTTTTGTTTTTTTTTAATTTTTAATATGAAATTAATTTTTTAATAAAAAATGGGTCCCGTCTCTGGCCATGTCAGCATTTAACAGAAAAAGTAACAGAAAAATTGACGGAGGTCTGACATTGGCACAAATTCGTAAGATGAGCTATGACATTGTCAATTTTAAAAGATGAGGTATGAAAATGTTGTGACACCAATAGTTGAAGTAATTTTTTGTACTTTACCCAGTGTATTAAAAGCGTGAGGCGTGGGCGAGGCGTCCGAGGGGAAGCCCGGCCTAGGCATGAGGCGTGAGGCGAAGCCTCACGGGACCTAAATTTTTTAATATATACACTGAGCGTACACATATATTATATTAAAAATAAGAAGATTATTAATTAATAATCACCCTGAGCACACACATATATTATAAATATGTATACACATATATATACACATATATATACATATATATACACATATATATACATATATTATATTATATATGCATAAAATAGAGGATGAAAAGCACAATGAGCACACATAACAATGCACGCAAACAACACACACATCCATTATATAAAAAATAAAAATCAGAAAAAAGGCATAGAGACAAAAGTGCAAGGAAGAGGTATGAGGCAGTTAAAATCCTACTCAAAATTTGGGTTTGGGAGTAAAGAAAAAAAAAAAAAAAAAACTCACTGAGGCGCGCCTAGGCGGCTCCGGCGAAGCCTTTCGCCCACTCCAGCAAAACTGAGGCGTTAGCCATGGCGCCCAGCCTCAAGGGCGCCCTAGGCGCGCCTCAAGTCGAGTTTTTTAAAACATTGACTTTACCCAATTTTTTTATAGTATGGCAATAACGCTAGCAATGCTTTATGGTACAAAACATTGGGTGGTCAAGCATCACCACGTGCAAAAAAAAGTGTAGCGAAGATGTGAATGCTTCGCTAGATATGTGGCACACGAGAAATGACATAATTAAGAACAAGTATATCTATGCTAAAGTATGAGCAGTTATAATTGAAAATAAGATGAGAGAAAATTGGTTAAGGTGGTTTGGACATGTGAAAGAAGGATCTACAGATGCTCCATTTAGAAAATGCAATTATGAGATAGAGGCTCAGGTCAAAAGGGATAGAGGAAGACCTAAAAAGACTTGGAACGAGACTTTTAGAAAAGACATGAAGTACTTGGAGCAAACGGAAGACTTGGCGCAAAACCAAGTTCAGTGGCATTCTAGGATTCATACAGCTAACCCCACTTAGGAATAAGACTTTGTTGTTATTGTTGTATTTCGGAACAAGTACTACTTACCAAAGGTTCCCATCGGCATACTAAAACTTTTTGTCAATTTTATCCAATCTATAGAGTCTAATAATCTACCATCAAACTTACAAGTGATGTCATTGCTAAGCCAATGTTTTAAAAACGTGCCCCGTGGCGGCTTTGGAGGCGGGGGCATGTTGGGTTTTTGGCTCAAAATTAGGATGATGCAATAAATTAGGTTTGTGTTACCTATTTGGTTTTGGTGTCCTATTTGGGTTTGGTTTTGACTTCTTAGTTAGTTTCCTTGGTGGAGAGATTTTATTAATTACCTATTAGGATTCTTATTGTAACCTAAGTCCTATGCACTATAAATAGGACCTTAGGGTTAGTGTCTTTAGAGTGGCTCATTCGTGTGGCAATTTGTTGAGAGTCAATTTGTGAGTTTGTGAGTTAGAGAGCAATTTAGGAGAATCTTCTTAGTTTTGGATTCTCTACTCGTTTGGTTTAGGGTTTGTAATTTGTGGGATTTGGGTTGTGAGAGTTTAAATACTCTTGTAATCTCGATTTGTTTAGTGAAATTCCTCGCCATGCTTTGCTCGTGGACATAGGCTTTACGCCGAACCACGTAAATCTCGTGTTAGTTTGAGATTGTTTGTTTTAGCTTTCACCTACGACATTGATATTGGTACTTTATTAGAATTCGTTTCCGTTTAGGCATAAAAGTACAAGTGGTATCAGAGCCCAGGTTTCGGCTTGGGCTTTGCTTGCAGTCACTATGAAGCCTTTTGTGTTGTCGGTGAAAGTTGATATTGAAAAGTTCAACGGCAATGACTTTGATATTTGGCAATTGAAGATGCGTGCTTTGTTAGTTCAACAAGGGCTTTTGAAAACACTAAAGGGTGTGAAGGCTTTGCCGAATTCGTGGACTGATGAAGAAAAAGAAGACATTATGGAGCGGCCACTTGGAGCAATCCTGCTGACTTTATCGAATGAAGTCTTGCGTGAAGTTGGTAGCATCAAATCTGCATCAGAGTTGTGGATAAAATTGGAGAGCTTGTATATGACCAAATCCCTTGCTAAACAGTTGTATTTGAAGAAAAGTTTGCATACTCTTCATATGGATGAAGGTACGTCAATTCATAAGCATGTTGATGAATTCAATAAACTTATGATGTATTTGAAAAGTTTGGATGACCAAATTAGTGATGAGGATTATGCGATAACTTTGTTGTGTTCTTTATCTCATTCGTATGAACACTTTGTCGATACCATGCTATTTGGTAGAGAAAGTCTTAGTTTGAAAGATGTTAAAGTTCCTTTGAATTCTAAAGAGCTAAAGAATAAAGTGTCTGACACACAAGATGGAGCTTTGGTAGTTCAAGGAAGGAATAAGGAAATGAGCAAACTTGGAAAGAACACTTGTAGCTATTGTTATATGGAAGGTCATTGGAAAGTAGATTGCCCTAAACTCAAGGGCAAAAAGAGGCCTTTTGATAAGTCTTTTGTTAGTGTTGATGCAAACATTGTAGAAGATCGTTGATCTGAACTCCTCTAAATGTTATGTGAAGAGGTGAAGCTTGGTACTCAAGCTCTTTGGGTGGAGTGCAATTCGCACTTTTTGTTCGTATGTTCAAGCTTTTGCTTGGATTTTGTTTCGTATTTGTTAGTTTCCATAATGAAATTTGTTGGAGAAGGCATTGGAGGAAATTTCAAGTTTGAAGACTTTTGGATTTTTTGAGTCTAGGTGGAGGTCAGTTTCAAAAGAATTTGGTGCATGTTTGCGTTTGTATTTTGGTATCCCAAATTTGGAAGTTTGCTAATTTCTCGCCGAGGTGGAGATTGTTGGGTTTTTGGCTCAAAATTAGGATGATGCGATAAATTAGGTTTGTGTTACCTATTTGGTTTTGGTGTCCTATTTGGGTTTGGTTTTGACTTCTTAGTTAGTTTCTTTGGTGGAGAGATTTTGTTAATTACCTATTTGATTAAAATTTGGATTTATTTCCTATTAGGATTCTTATTGTAACCTAAGTCCTATGCACTATAAATAGGATCTTAGGGTTAATGTATTTAGAGTGGGTCATTCGTGTGGCAATTTGGTGAGGGTCAATTTGTGAGTTTGTGAGTTAGAGAGAAATTTTGGAGAATCTTCTCCATTAGTTTTAGATTCTCTACACGTTTGGTTTAGGGTTTGTAATTTGTGGGATTTGGGTTGTAAGAGTTTAAACACTCTTTTGTAATCTTCATTTGTTTAGTGAATGCTTTGCTCGTGGACGTAGGCTTTACACCGGACCACGTAAATCTCTGGTGTTAGTTTGATATTGTTTGTTTTAGCTTTTACCTATGACGTTGATATTGGTACTTTGTTAGAATTCACTTCCGTTTACGCATAAAAGTACAACAGGGCAGGGGTGAAAACATCTATGCCCTGTGGGAGTAGGAGAAAACTCACCTAGACGTGGTCGAGGTGCGCATTAGGCAGTACTGGACATTTTCTTTTTTATAAAACTTCTCAACCTTCTTCGTTCGACCCTCGAGTCCGCGACAACCTTGCACGCTTCTTCTCTTGTGAAACACTATAACCCTCCCTTTTCTTCTTCGCGCAATACCACCAACTGAGTAGCACCGCCACTGCCACCACCCAAAAAAGAGGGAAAGTGATAGCGTTATATGTGGACTATATTAATGTTGTAAAATGAGTGGATATTGGCAAGAGAGAGAGAAGAGAGAACGTATGAGTGAGGGAGTGTACTAATGAACCAATATTTATACTATATATTTCCTCCTTTTATATTTCTTTTCTTGTCTAGTTTAGTTGGAAGTTTTAAGTTTGTGATGGTTTTGCCATTTTGTGTTTCTAGGAGCAACAGGATCGAGTTTGGTGGAAAAATATGCAAACGGTGAAATTTTTGAGTAATTCCAGTTGGAGCTGATTCACAAGAGATTGAAGATGATCATATCAAGTTTTCAGCTCAAAAATTCCCAGTTTAAGAATGAAGAAAGCAGACGTTTCAAGCTTTCAAAGGACATCTCATTCATTGAAATCTAAAGACTTTTGGTCTACCAAACGTTATGGCCAATTCTGCCCATTCTAGCTAATAAAATAAGAAAGTAACTGCACCTTGTGCTTTGCCTTGTCATCAACACTTGGCAGAAAATTGGGTTTTAATTCCACTCATTGGCCTTTGGAGCAAAAGAAAAGCCGAGAGGAAAGTGCAGAACACAGCAAAGGGGGAGAAAACAGAGGGAGAGCAGAAAGCAAGATGGAAGGGGTGCCGCAGCTCCAAATTTGAAGAGAAGAAGAAGCATTCTCCTCTTTTTGAGGAGAAGATCGCAGAGCTCATCTTGTAAAAAATGGTGGTTTTCTTTCTTTGATTTTAATGGATAATTCCTTATGTATTAAAACAAGTACGTGTAACTAATTTCCTTTTTGCTAGAGTGAAGCCATGAGCCTCAACATGATTACGTAGATTTCTCTTTCAATTGCTTAAGTGTTGTTCCATGCTTGCTTTGATATTTTCAATCACTGAATTAAACTATCTATCTGCCTTGATACTTGATCACCATTAGGATGCTTAGAAAAGTCATCGAATGCAATTTTGAACAAATGTCACGTTAAAATTGGTTATGCTTCTTATGATTGAGGATTGTAATTTCTCCTAAGTTAAATATCATACTTTTAGGGATTACATGGTTTAACAAAAGGATTTTCACCAAGATTAATGAATCACTCATGTTTATATTTAATCCAAATGTCATAGATAAATTGCACGAAGTGGTATGTGTTTTAACTTGAATGTCACAAGTAAAACATAGACAAGGAAAACCCAACCTTCAAAGCATGTGCGTTTTTCATTACTTAAGAAATTGGAAGAGCTACGTAGGAGTGTTGTTGGTAAAGGTTGAACTCTAGAGCCTTGTCAATCTAATTTTCTTCAATTATTTGTATTATCTTGAGTTTCTATATTTACTTGTTTTGTTTAGTTGGATCACTATTCTTATAAGCCAATTCCCATTTTAGATATTTGTTTAAGTCACGTATAGTAGTATTTAGTTTCGTCAAATTAGTGTAGTTCTTAGAGTTAACTAAGTTAAATACACAAAAACTTGTAAATTGTTTATATCAGTCCCTAAGGAGATCGACCTTACTTGAGTCAATCTATACTATAAACACTTGTTCTCTTGCAAGAATTTTCTATGATTTAACCCTTGTTTTACAAGTAGTAAAATCGCTATCATGTACAGAGGGAAAGAGAGTGGGTGGGGGATGTATGTTGGACCATATTAATGTTGTAAAATGAGTGGATATTAACGAGGGAAAGAGACTTTTTTACCATTTTTATATGTATGTGGACCATATTTGGATGAATGATTTCTTTTTTTGCATGTTTTTGAGTTAAACATGTTTATGACTTGTGCACTTTCGAACGACAAACAATATTTCTATACAAAATATTATAATTTGTATATGTAACTATATACAATATATATTTATATATAGATTATAAATTTTTGATCTCCGAGGGCGTGAGCCGTCTAGGATACCGAAATATTTAACATACCCTCTTACAAGTTTATATGCAAACAGCTGGATATTTGTGCTGATCTGAGTATACATACGATATACTTTCACATCTTGGAGAGGGGGAAACACGGTTATTTTACCTTTTATTGCCAAAAACTTATATATAAATACTTTCTGAATCAATATTGTTAAGACCAACCTTCCAGCTTTGTCAATGACTTTATGGAAAGAATTTGCAATAACTGTTCAATAGCCTCTTCTGATACACCAGCAGATTTCAACTCATTTTTTATATCATCCACTGGAATCTTCTCTATCTGTTTACAATTCAAATCAAGAAAAGAATAGAAACTTGTAACAAAAGTCTATATTTTTTGTTAGGGTGTATGATCATGCATAAGAAAATGGAGAAAATATTGTAAAGAAAATATCATATTCATTGTACTATCAGGCTTAAGAGCAAGACTAGATTCTAGATCCAAAATGCATACAAAGTTCAACAACTCTCACCGTAAAAGGCACATGTAGACACTATACTCATACATATGTGCATATACAAAAGAAAATACAAAAGCAGAACATCATACTACAATTATTGAATGTCAAAGGAACTTCAATATATCGACATGAACTAGCAACTAGCGTACTTCAAAGCAAAACTTTGAAAGAACTTTTTCAAAATCTAATAAGTTAAAGTTATTAAACTAACAAATAATCTTAGTTGTTTTTCTCAGGAATGTATAATCAAACAAATACAATGCCATCCCGGCTTTCACATAATAATTTTTTTTAAAAGAACAATAGTAAAAACCCAGAACATAATTAGCTGCAATCCAAAACTTGCAACCTTTCACAATTTACCTTGTCTATGATGATGCATACTTTGCCAAATAAAGATTCGGGTATGGAATAGCGCCTCAGTACTTCTTGTAAAACCTATAATGTAGAAATGTTAGGCCAATAGGCAGTAGTTATAAAATAAAAAATTTAAGTATTTAAAAATGACATGAAAACTCATTCAGAGCAAACAGTGGGAGAGCTTTTCCAAAATAATTGGATGTGTCAGTTTCTTTTTCGATAAGCAACTTGAGAATCATTTGGTAATACGATGTCAAAGACCTCTGAATCAAGTAGTCTAAGTTCATGCCATGAAATACCATCCGCACCTTACGACTTGAAACCTTAAATCCAACATCTGATGCCGTAATTCCTAATCGCTTGAGGAAAGTGACAATTGAAGAAATAAGTTCTGCTTCAGCCTAGCACATAAAGATAAAAAATAAAAAATAAAAAATAAAACTAAAGCTTGTTAGGGAAATGCATATAACACAACATACACAAATACAACATCATCTGAAACAGATTGAAATTTCAATCAATGCAAGAGTAAGAGGTATCACAAAAAATCGCATAATCATATAAGCGATACAGCGGAATCAGCTCCATACCGTAACCTCAGGTACACCAATAATATCCATATTCCACTGGTAATGCTCCCGACGCCGCCCCCTTGTCATCCTCTCGTACCGCCAACACTGCCCAACGGCAAACCATTTCAATGGCAGGGACAGAGATTTTCTGGACAGGAAAAAACAAGGGGATCAAAAATTTTGGCTTCCTCACCTGGATATAAACAAATCACAGAGTAAATAATAAATATATAGATACACATTATACACTTATACAACCAAGTCTTTAACTAGCAAAGTAACATGATCAGCGGAATCAGAATCGCAGTACCCTTTCTGTATCACCAGCCTGGCCAAAGAAGGAGTGAGCTCCGGCCTCAACGCGACGCGACGATTGCCTCGATCTTCGAAGCAATACAGCTACACGATACAGTGCAATGTAGGTATATGAATATATACATTTATATATGTATGTATGCAATTCAAATTCAAGCAATGCAGGTAAAAGAAACGCTGAGAAAATCAGCATACCTGGTCACGAATCTCCTCCCCTGCTTTTCTGATAAACAGCGCCTCAGTCTCGAGAACCGGAAAGTCGACCTCTTCGAAGCCGAACAGCCGCGAGACCTCTTTGAAATTGCAGAAGAGCCAGTTGCGGAGGCGCATATCTTCTGGCGGGAAGTCCCTGGTGCCCTTGGGAGGGTTAACGTCGACCTTCTGGAGGTCATCGGTGGCCGGCGCAGGAGATAGAGCCCCGATGCGACCGCCACCGGTGGCATTGGGGGTGAGAGAAGAAGCGGCCGGGGAGAGTAAAGAGAGGGGTCTAGGGTTTGGGGTGAGAGGGGGTTTGGGGAGGGGAAGTCGAAGAGCGCGAGTGAAGGGCTTGTGGAAGATAAGGAGGGAAGACGAGACTGCAGAGAGCATGGCGACGGTGGTGAGGGCTCGATTGTCTTTTTGGTTACTGGGGTCTTTGGTTGTTTTGATAAAAACGCAGAGGAATAGGTTGAAAACAACGAATGGATATGGCGGGGGCCCAAATTGAATAGTGAAAGCCCAAATATTTTTAGTAGGATGCCATACAAGCCATTGTTTTTTTGAAAAAGATGGACTTAGGTCCTCGAGGATTAAGGAGGAACACCTTCTCAAGGAACCTCGCGGCCGACTTACAGAGTTTCATGTTTTGATTAGAACAATTTATATTATAAATGAATATGTAAAAATTATTTTTACAAAATATATATTTGAAATCGTTTAATTGAATAGTATAAAAATAAATAGTCAGTATCGTTAAAAGTGTTACGAGTCGTATATTTATTTACTACAATTGACTCATCAAACAACTTTAGTTTTCATTGATTTTGTTTAGAGATGTTCTTTGTTGAGGCTCAAAAATGTCTTAAAAGTCCCCCAACAATCTTTCTAAAATGATTTATAATATGAACGATTCTAATTATAAGTACGAAATTCCATAAATCAGTCACAAAGTATCTTGAGGAGAACTCCTCCTCAATATTAAGAAATCAAGCTTTTCTCTTATTTTTCTTGTTAAAAATCATCCTAGTGTGTATTCCAAATTTTCATTCTATGGTTGAGATATCATAGCCCACAATATAAACATTCCTTAAATTTTTAATTTGTCACACATAACATGACGTAGCATTATTCTAACATTATATGTTATAGTTAGGGGTGGTTCGGTATGGGATCCCATACCGAAACCGTTATCCCGATTCCCATACCAAAATTTTCAGGAATCCCAATTTCAATACCGATCCCAAACCAAATTTTCGGAAATCCCAATTTTCGGGAATCCCGAAATAGTTTCGGGATTTCGGGACAAATCGGGAATCCCAAAATAATTTTGGGCTTTTGGGCTTTTGGACAAAAAAAGCTAATATTGGTCCAATTGGACAAAAACCTAATATTGGGCCGAAGGGGCTTTTGGGCTTTGAGTGTTACAAGCTACAAAAATACACAGATACGAACATGAAACCTCCGATTAACAAACTATAGCTTTCTCCGCAGTTAATAGTTACTTATGTGTATGTAAAGACCAAAAATCAATTACGATAAACAAGATAAGACATTTTATGAACAGAAAATCGAGGTCAAGATTTATTCCTAAGGAAACGCCATCACATAATAAACTTTTCCTTAGAAGAGAGAGAGAACCGAGTAGTCAATTGTTGCAAACAACACAAGAAGCCGGTATCAACACTAGTGCTTGTCCTTGGGAATATCCTTTGGTGGAACCTTTTATTCCAGTTCCTTGGTGATTCTGAGAGAAAATCCATGAAGTCGTATTAAGATGCAAGACCACTAACAAAAATATACGAAAGCAGAGTACATTATTTCCATGATAATAAACATAAAACGGCATATCACAATTCATCAAGTCCTCAAGATCACACTTAAAAAATATCCCTACGCAATCATCAATGTCCATTGTCCAGGTTTGGCTGGACAATGATTTGTACACTGCACCAGTGTTTGATAACAAATCATTCTTGGTTTATCTTAAAAACCATGGACACAAAGAATAGAACCAAGTAATACGATAAATGAAAGTCTTTTATGATATGCCCTTCTATTTGAGGGCTGATTCCAAATTATAAAAACTAATGCCCTGCTCCAACCAAAAGATCGAGACTAGGGTAATACTGAAAAGCTAAGATAAGAGAGAAAAGGCATTGGAGATAGTATCATTTGAAAGATGCCTAGTCATTTAGGTAACACAGTACATCTAAGGCTTCCAAAAGTTAACCCTTCAAACCCCCACCAAACACACATCTCTCATACAGGAGGCCAATTTTCACACCATTACTTGCTAACTTACTAAACCATCCTCTTTTCCAACATCAAGACAAAACAAACGAGAATGGTACATGATAACATCATAAATATCTGAATATAAAGCATATCAGGTGTAGCAATCTGTTGAACGTTAACACTTATCCATGTTAAGAGTGAGACAGGGTTAAGCTGAACCATTTTCAAGAAACATATAGAATTCAAACGAACTGCCAAATTAAATTTTGACTAAGTTGAGTAGCTACTTGCACACTTACAAACAATTTCATAGTTAACATATTTTACAGAAAAACAAAACGAAAAAAAGAATGAGAGGAGGATTACTTGGGCGATTCTTCCTCAAACTTGTAACACTCAAAAGTTTCAAGTTTATGAAGATTGTTGACCTCTTCGGCCCCTTCGGCCCCTTCTTGTTGGCACTTGTAATTTTCCCCTTGATGTTGATGGTTGAGCCCTTCCCCTTACAATGGGTGGTCGTGGTCGTGGAGGTAGTGATTGATTTTGACGTTGTTGAACTTGTACTTGAGGTGGTCGAGGAGGTGGAGGTGGCATTTCATTTTCTTGTGTTGTATTCTCCTCACCTCCCAAATTAGCCATGTCTAAAACAATAAACCACAAATCATTTACATTGAATTATAGTCTAATAGATAATAAATACTAAGAAAATAAAAGATGAAATTAAATTGTTTACTTACTTCTTTCTAAGCGTTCAAGCTCCTCATAGAAACATAATTCGTCAAGGGTAGGCTCCTTGTAGAAACAAAATTCTTTTCCTCTAAGCCAATCACTAGTACACACTAAAGCCTCAACCATTTTAGGTGTTAAGGAAGCTCTAAAAGGATCAACAACTCTCTCACCAAGACTAAAGGCATTCTCACTAGCAACGGTGCTACTAGGAAGGGCCAATACATCCTTAGCAACTTTACTAAGAATTGGATATTGACCACAATTTCCTTTCCACCAATCCAAAAGATTGAAACCCTCATATGTTAGGCTTTGATGTGGATCATTGAAGTACATATCCACTTCATTGGCTATCTCATTTTGTTGTGCCTCCGCTTTCTTTCTTTGGATCTTCTTTGCCATCCTTGAAGCAACATCAATATCTACCATCACACCCCCCGCCCCATCATCTAGTACAACACTTGATCTTTGCTTCATATTTGAGGTAGCACTACTATTAGTACTACTACCACTACTACTACTAAGGACCACTCCCTCCTTATATGCATTATACAACTCGGTTACATAACCTTTAACCCTTACTTTCTCCTCCCTTATTTTGTCACATCCATAGCCGAGCTCTTCTAGATTTGTCTCCAACATATCAAATTTGTACCTCGGGTCGAGTGATTGGGCCACAAAGAGAATAGGATTCACCTTTTCAATGTCACCCCAATATTTGTCAAACTTGAGCTTTATTGAGGTAGCCACACTTTGCAAAGTGGCATTAGAGGCGTTTGAAATTTGTTCTTCTATCTCCACTTGCAAGGCAATCACCGTGCTAAGTATTAAGTGTGACGTTGGAGTAAGGGTTGCACTCAATGTCAAGGTGGCATCATAAATTTTTTTGAGAAAGTGAGCAAAACTCACCGACCTTTCCCAATCATCCACCTCCGGAGGACCCACCCGCTTGGCCTTTCTTGTCACCCCATCAACCTCTTTCGAGACCTCCTCTTTAAAGTAAGCAATGAAAGAGTCACACTCAAAGGCCATCTTAGAGAACACTTCTTTAAACTTGAAAGCACTATTAAGCATTTGATAAGTGGCATTCCACCTTGTGACAACATCAAAAGGGATACTTGACATCCTATCAAATCTCAACAAGACACAATATTCCCTAAAAGACTCCAACCTTGCCGGGGATGAGTGTATAAACTTCACACAATTTCTTATGGCATCAATCTCCCTACTAAGCTTCGTCATTCCATCCTTAACTATCAAATTGAGGATGTGACAAGCGCACCTCATGTGCAAGTGAGCCCCATCAAGTAAAAGAGTACCATTTGACTTGAGTCTTCTTTTCATGTATGCAATAGCGGTGTCATTTGCACTAGCATTGTCAACAGTAATGCTAAACACCTTGTCTATGCCCCAATCATTCAAGCAAACCTCTAGACATCTTCCAATATCATCACCCTTATGAGAAGTAACTTAGACAAAGTTTAGGATCCTCTTACGTAACCCCCAATTAGTGTCCAAAAAATGAGCCGTGATGACCATGTAGTTTATCATTTGAATTAAGGTCCAAATGTCGGTTGTAATACTCACTCTCAACCCCTCAATCACACTTTTTATTTTTGCCTTCTCTTCAACATACAACTCCAAAACCGCCGCCGCTACCTTATGCCTATTAGGAAGTTTGTACTTTGGATTCAAGTCACGAATAAAATCTCGAAAGTCTTCTTGATCAACCACCCTAAAAGGCATCTCCGCTATTATAATCCACCTCACACATCTCCTATCAAGTCTTTTTTTATTGAAAGTGTGAGTGACAACCGGACCTCCCATCCTCGCTTGTGTCAATGTAGGTTGGTTCGGATCCCCATTCTCAAAGAGACTAGAACCCGGGCATTTCCTCAAATGCTTAAGAATTCCCGTTGTCCCATGAGTTATAGGGTGTGTCGGTACTAAGAGTTTGCAATGCTTGCATTCGGTCATGTAAGATTTCTCCCCATTATTATCGGTGATCGTTACCCTCTTAGCATCATTCCACACCGGACTTTGACCCTTTCTCCTATTGCCCTTTTTCCAAGGAGAACCATCCCATTGTCTCACTACTTCTACTTCTTCTACTTCCTCTTCCCCCTCTTCCCCCTCTTCTTCTATTTGTTCTAATGCAATATCCTCCTCCACATCCAGATCATCATCCCAACAATCTTCATAATAATCATTATGCAAATAATCTTGAGGTGAGGGAGTGCCTAGTTGAAGGGTACCACTAGGTTGAGTTTGTTTTCGTTTTCCTAATACCGAGACTATATGTGTACTAGATTGGCTACTAGATCCGTCCATCCTAACAAATAAAATAACAATGCACATTAATATATCATAACCACAGTTCAGCATATATCCAAATTCCAAACAATAAATAAACTAAATGGTTCAAAAATCTGAGCAGATTCTCACAAAGATATAAGTAGCCCCACCCTCACAATCTGAGCAGATTCTAAAAAATCTGAGCAGATTCTCAAAAACCAGCATGTTTCTAAACTAGGAGAATATAAGTAGCCCCACCCCCACAAAGATAATACAAACATGAAAGTTGGAACCTACAAACAAGAGTTTTCAACACTTACTTGTAGCGCTTGTATGCTAAACCTTTAAAAGCTGCTCGAGAACAAATGATTCAAGAAAAACAACCTGAAGAATAATAATTCAAGAAAATAATTAGTAGAGAATCATAGTAGACTAACATGCTTAACATATATTGTGTTTTCAAACCAATATGGATACAATGCTTAACATGCTTCATGGAATACAGATAGAGCCGAATTCACCAAACCAAGTGGGTCAAAGTAAAATCTCAATGCCTATAGTAAGTTCAAAGTTTACTTCTTTCCCAAATACTCTTCAGATTGGCTACTGATGTTTTTTAACCATTTACCCAATTGAAATTAGAAATTATACATCTAGTAAAAGCAATAACAGCTATAACATCAACAACCAAAAGTAAGAAAATTCGTCAAAGAATGGAAATAGTACAAAGAAGTAAGCATCTTATTTGTCAATTAGCTAACTAACAGTTAATTATGTGATTAGGCTATAATGGAATCAGGAAAGCTAATCATCTAAAACATTTTGACTGAACTAAACTAACAAAATCGTTAGCAGTTAAAACTTTAAACCATTTGAAAACTTCAAAGCAGAATCTACCAACAAAAAAAAAGACTCTACAACTGACTATCTGTTTACTAATCTCATGACAAAATTCATCATAACTCACTCATTCATCTCACATAAGTTTCTCCTTCTATTTTAGCATCCCTTGGGAACGCAAAATATACACACACACACACTGACACACTAGATACACACACACACACACTAATTTGTTGGTCTTAACCCTGCATCAATCATATAAGCAAAAACACTTATTACATATGTAATTGGTATTTTTTTCTACCCAATTCAAAAAATTCTTTCAGAGAATGTGCAATCATTTCATATTACAGAGGATTGTTCATATTACAGAGAGAATACATACTATCATTTCAAATGACGAATATATACTAACATGCAAATGACGAATATATACTATCATTTCAAAGACGATCCCAGATGAAGAGACAAAATCGCAAAAGAAAAGAGAGAGAGCGAGAGGTGTGTGTGTAACGGTGAGATAAAGAGATTTCAGAAAACTAAATTAATTACCTAATTTGGGGTGAGAGTGAGACTCAGACTCGGTGTGGTGGTGAGACCGTGAGAGAGATCCCCAGTTCTGTGACCTGACCTGTCCGTGAAAGACAATCGCCCTAGAGAGAGAGAGAGATAGCGAGGGAGAGCGGTGATTGTGTGGTGAATGAAGGCTGGAGAGTCAGAGACAAGAGTATGGTATGGTGGTGGGCCGGTGGCTGGTCGGAATTTGACAGTATGGTGAGGGACGACGTTGGTGAGGGCTGGAGGCTCAGGGCTGCGCTTCGAAACAAATGAACGGAGGAACTACAAAAGTGAAATGTGATCTGACCTAAAAACAAATCAACGGCACAGATTAAATCCAAAACAATCAACGGTTGAAATAATTCTCTTATAATTAAAAAATTATATATATATATATATATTTTTTTTTTTTCGGTTCGGTATGGGAATACCGAAAAAATGAAATGCAATACCAAATCCCATACCGAAACTTTCGGTTTGGTTTGGGATTACATCCCGAAACTTTCGGGAATTTTGGTTTGGGATCGGGATTTTTTTGGTTTGGTTTGGGATTTTTGGGATTTTTTTCCAGCCCTAGTTATAGTTCCTTATGCGTTAAATTCTTGGCTCTCTATTCTTCAGTCAATCATGCTCATTCAAAAAAGAGAAAAATAAAATAAAATAAAGTCCTCGAATACTATTGATCGTAATTTAAAAAAAAAACGATAACATTAAGGAGTGAGAAAATAATTGCGAAGTCATTATTTATAAGAGTGGAATTTACAACATTTCACTTATAAATAGATAAAATATTATCTAACCATATATAATACTAAGTGGCCTATCGACTTTATGTTAACACACACACACACACATATATATATATTTATATAATTCTCATCAATATCACCATTCATGTTTATCACGCGTCATATTATTTATTATTTTCTCGATTGTTCATGAAACACGCATGTGCATCCAAATTTCACCAACTGCATACATATGCACCGACCCATTTCATAATATTTCAATTTCATTTTTTTGACGTTTCTAGATGAATGATCAAAACAAAATACAATGTATTACATTGTAGTACTCTACCCAACAGGTACTACTCTCTTCTGGCATGCTTCAAAGCAAAAATATCATTTTCTAGATAAATTAGCTTCACCTACTTAATGAAAATTAGGCAATCATATTTGGTTTAGGCATTCACTTCCATAGGTCATGTTCAAAATGATGATTACCATTATTTAATCGTACTAGTAAGCTACTAAGGGTAAGAATAATCGTCTAGATCTTATTATGAAACAAAAAAGCTGCCCCGAGTCTAAAAAAAAAAAAAAAAGAAACCTCCGGTACACTACCCGGTGTAGTCTCTGGAGCCTTTCTTTTATTTCTCGAATTCTTTGGGTGGTAGCTTGCTTCCAAGCCCTACCTTATATAAAAGTTGT